CATGACCTTGGGAGTAATACTGTTTCCAGTTAACTTTGCAGCTGGCTTTGTTTGTGTTCTGCCATCCAGATTCAGGGTAGGGCAGTTTTTCCTTTCTCAGTGTAATGTCTGGGGAGAGAATTGTTTGAGTCTTTATTAAAAAAAAAAAAAATCACCAGCTACTTTGCTGAATGTAGTACACCACAGATGAATACAATAAAAAGTAATTGCTATGTTTAAAAACCAACCAACCAACCAACCCCAAACAGTCATACTATTTCACTGTTCCCAAACACTTTTAGGTCACGACATCGTTCTTTCACAATTGTCTATAAAAAAGTGGCATTCACGTCAGAGGGATCCAGAGCATGATCTTAAAAGTAATTAAAATATTGTATGACCTGGGAAATGTGAGTCATGACAGAAGAAATGTTTTTCTCTTCCACGAGAACCTAAGAGATCACCGCCAAGAACATTTCTTTCTTGTTAGAAAGTGTTAATCAGTGTCCAATCAGAAAAACAATCTAGATAATTCTACTAAACAGGATTGAAGGTAGGGACTTAGCTACAAAGACGTTGGAAGGGCTGGAAGAACCGAGGAGCCAAAGACCCAAGAAGTTCGAGCTGGGGAGTGAGGTGGGGATTATTGCAAAAGCTCCCACTGAGTGGCTAGGGGACGTGGGTCTGCATTACTATTCTTGTATTACTGAATCAAAATTAAAATGTCAATCACAATTTGATACTGAAAAATACACAGATAAACCTGTTGAGTCATGTTTCAGAGCATGGATGTGAGGCACCAGCAATTATTAGCTGCGTGACCCTGGGCAGGTTTTCTCACTTGGCAATAGAGGAAGCTCTACCTCCCAGGGTAGCTGTATTGTTGCAATGAGTAGAGAGGGTACAGCTTGTGAAGGGCTCCCAGTAGGCCTGGCACCCGGTAAACTCTCCACTGATTTAGGGTCCTTGCATCTGCTGGAAGCGGCACCTGCCTAAGCCTGAGGCCATGCCAGGGACGGCCACTCACCCTGCTGGAGAATGGAAGAAAAACTAGTTAGAAATAACTGAGGTAGGGGCCTGGGCGGTTCAGTGGTTGAGCGTCTGCCTTTGGCTCAGGACGTGATCCTGGGGTCCGGGGATCAAGTCCTGCAGCAGGGTTCCCGCAGGGAGCCTGCTTCTCCCTCTGCCTGTGTCTCTGCCTCTCTCTCTGTGTCTCTCATGAGTAAATAAAATCTTAAAAAAATAATAATAAAAAGAAAGAAGTGAGATCTTCCTGAAACCCTTACAATGTTGGGGGGGGGGCGGTTGGTGTCAGAGGGTCCTGGGTTTAGTACCCACTGGGCTCCCTACCTGGTCCTGGGCCCCAGGGGTGCAGGTCTGAAGGGCTTCTGAGCTGCAGGTTTTCCCAGGTGGAAAACTGAAGTAGTTTCTTCCTTGCAGGGCAGATGTAAAACCTAAAAGAGATTTTTTTTTAAAGTATGTGAAATACCTGGCTTATAGTAGGAGTTCAATAACAGGAACTGCTGTAATTAAATAATCACTTTATAAATAATTAACAGATAAATAATTAAAACCTTTGACATAATTAAATAATTAAAAATCACTACCAAAATGTCATAAAGTATTGTGTCTGTCCTATCACCGTGTGCGGGGAAAACACTTACCTGGGTACGTTTTCAAAGGGAGAGCCTGGGGTGCGTGCGTGCCCATCACGGGTACCTGCTCTAAGGCCGCTCCCTTAGACGGTGCATTCACGGGCTCTGGAGTCCAGGGCGGGGAAAAGGTGAAGTTCCCATATGTCGCCACCGGGTGGCGCAGCGACCCTTCGCCAGGCTGCGGTGAAAAATCCGCCGGGTTTGGAAGCCTGACCAGCTTTGTCAGACGCTCTGGCAGGGCCTGCACTTTGTCTGGAAGTGGCCAGGAGGATGCACGGCCTCCGTGAGCCGCAAGACGGCTGGGGACGAGGGCCACAGCAGGAGACGGAGTAAAGAAAATGTGTCAGTGAAGGTACCCCCGGCACCTGGGGAGCCCCCCCGCCCAGGCCCACCGATAATTCATCTGTTCTTGCCAAACGGTTTGTCGAGTCCTTAGCATGAGCCGTGAACCGGGCACAGTGTGAGATCAGCCCCCTCAGGCAGCTCACAGTCTTGCTGACGAGCTTGGCACGTGGACACATGGCTAATAGGTAAGGTGAAAATAACAGGACATAGGGACACCTGCGTGGCTCAGTGATTGAGCGCCTGCCTTTGGCCCAGGGCGTGATCCTGGAGTCCCAGGATCGAGTCCCGCATCAGGCTCCCTGCATGGAGCCTGCTTCTCTCTCTCTGCCTGTGTCTCTACCTCTCCCTGTGTGTGTCTCTCATGAATAAATAAAATATTAAAAAAAAAGAAAATAAGAAAATAACAGGACATAATGCCACCATCTCTTCAACCCTTATGGCGAGCCAGGGGCTGGATGATAATCTTCCTACTTTGCACATGAGGAAACCAGGATTCAAGGGATTCACTCATTTTCCAAATTCCCAAAGCTGAAAAAACCGGATTCAAGCCATGCCACTCTATTTTAGAGGCTTTGTCAGCAGTGCTTTGCAAACCACTGCTGCTCGCCTAAAACAAGACACACAGCCCTGCTCCTTTAAAAGCTCACCACTTGGGATCCCTGGGTGGCACAGCAGTTTGGCGCCTGCCTTTGGCTCAGGGCGCGATCCTGGAGACCCGGGATTGAATCCCATATTGGGTTCCCGGTGCATGGAGCCTGCTTCTCCCTCTGCCTGTGTCTCTGCCTCTCTCTCTCTCTCTGTGACTATCATAAATAAATAAAAATTAAAAGCTCACCACTTGAGGTTAGTCTCAGCAGGTTGACAAGATGACAGCGGGCACCACCCCCCCAGCCCCGGGCTCGGTGCCCCTCTTGCCCTCCTCCCTGCTCCCTGTTCACTCACTGACTCAGGCACGTGGCTCACTGTAACCATCATCTTCTGGCCACTTCCGCTGCCGCTCCCACAGCCACGGCTGGCCTTGGTGATCGCTGGTAGCTGGGCCCTGGAGAGACTAGCACCCACATCTCTCTGCTTACCTGGCCTTCCAGCTGGGCGCCTCAAATGCCCCGCCCAGAAGGAAACCTCATTTAACCTGGCGCGACGAGGCCAGCAGGGGAGGCCCTCATGCCCCTCCCCTGGTGGCCAACTGCACACCCAACGGGAAGACTCACCCGCCAAGTAGACAGCTGCTACTTCATTCTCCAGGCAGCAGGGGGAAAGGGCTGTCTCCTGGGTGCTCCAACAGCCCGGCCAGGGAGAGACTGTCACAACTCAGCTGGTGAAAAGCCACTGCAGTTCGAATCCCAGTTTCCGCCAATGAACACTGGGTTCGTAAGAGCTGCCCCATCTCCTTTTCCACCATGAAGGACCCTCCCGCTTTGTTTTGAGGGCTTGGCTAGCATTCTGCTGAGGTTTGCTCGTCCCAAGTTGCCATTCTCTGTTATTCCTGAAAAAAGCCTCTTTTTGATGGGAAAATAACTGACACTTTTCTTTTTAAAGTTAACACACTATTCTTTGCTTTCCTGGGCCCCCTGGCAGCTGGTCCAGCTTCTCCCTGCACCCACCTCTCCTGACTTCACCTCCTTTCCCCAGCGTAGTTCCCATGAGGTGGCACCTCGGCTACCCTTCAAGAACAGCTTCGGTGCTGTCCCCAGTCCCACTCTCCTCCGGGTGCTGGCTTCTACCTCGCCATCACCAGTCCTTGCTGGGCACTACATCCTGCAACCGTGGCCGTGGCCTCGGTGGGAATCCTTGCAGCAGGGGAGCCCGTTGGAAGGGAATAGGAAATTCTGAACAGAGCACTGAGCTGAAGGCTTCAGAGTTCTCTGGGATGGCAGCGAAGTTGTGGGGTCCCAGGGCTGAAGACAGTGGAGAGGCCCTGACAGTCACTGAGGAGAACGGGAAGCTGCTGGTGGGGGGAGCATGCGGACGGCCCAGCTGAGGATGTGGATCTAGGAGCTAAGGTGGGACCAATTCTGTGGCTGTGGCCTTCCTCTCTGAATGTTTGGCTGCAGGGCTGAGCAATCAGTTTATCCAGGGCAGGAGGCTGCCAGGTGGTTCCAACAGAAAATGCTGGAGATATTGGCCAAAGTGTTGGAGTGAAATTTATAGACATTAACCAGATTACCTGACTTGAAAACCTGATCGTTTACTGATTGTTTACAAAACAGAAGCTTCCTGAAGGCAGGGCCTTGCTCTGCATGTACTCCTATCCTGTCAGGGGTCACTTCTTGAGCAAGTGAACTCAGACAGTGGGCATGAAGAACCTCAGTGCTCTGGCAGCAGGACAGAGGCAGAGGGAGAGTGAGAGAGACTGAAGGACGTGTCTGATGGCCCAGTTTCAGAGATGGGTCACTTCTGGAGATGATCTGCTCAGGACACCGGAGCCTGAGGTTGAATGCAGGCAGGTGACCAATACATCTGGCTTTGTTTGGACCTCCTTGACTCTACCATGGAAAGCCCTGTGTCCTCGAGAGCCTTCAGTCCTGGGTAAATTGGCCAACTGGTTACTACATGCTGGACAAGAACATCTCTGAGAAGCCAGAATATTGGTCAGTGGTCTGTGGAAGCTGCAGGATTCCTCACTCCTGTAGGCCTGTGTCAGTTTTTGCCACACTCAATGTGGGACTCCTTGGGCATGTTTTCCCAGCAGTGAAAGGGAGCTTTTTCGTAGCACTGAACTCCAGGAATAACAAGTATGCTAAAAATGGCAAGTACTTCCAAGAGTGGAAACACCAAGGTGTGGCTACATCAGCATTTCCAAATCTGCAAATTAAGTGCATCGTGCTCAGAGCCTTAAAAAAATCCTATCAACACAGCTGCCCTGCTAATTTTTTCTCTTTCTAGTGGAAATTAAACTGCTGATTTATTATAATAGCATCTATTTTCTTAGAACTCTAATAATGTCAATTTGCAATATTACATGAAATGCCTATATATAAACATCATAATTTTAATTGAGCACAAGAATCATATCAAAAATGAAATAGTCTTTGGTTAAATAGACATATCTAGTGTTGAAAATAGATTTCACACTCCACATGCATTACATAGCATAGACAAACCATAGCTTCATTATAATTCAAATTTTCTAATAACTGACTTGCTGTTACAGCAATCAAATGTGCATCGGTAAATTATTCTAGAGAAGCTTTATTTTCAGGACCATATTTGATGGATAAATCATTAAAAATGAAATACAGACTTTCTGGAAAAATTGCAGAAATACATTTCAACTAAAAAATAACTCTCATAATGAGTTAATATATACAAGGTACATTGAAACAAGTAATATCAGAATTATCCTATGTCAACATCATGGATATGTACAGTCACTATAAATAAAACCATAGGGGTCAGGATATAGCTGTTCACAGAAACAAAAGAAGACTTCTTTCCCAGAACATTTAGGAATATTCCAGGAATGTTACTAGGAGTATAGTTCTTTCCTATAATCAGGGGAGAATCAGTATATACAGACTCAGATTCCTACAGTACCTACAGCTTACTCAACATGCTTATGTCAGAAATTTGAAGACAGCCTCCCTTTCTATGTGTCCCACATAAAATCTTATTTGAATCTGTTGAATTCTTATTAATTTGGATTCAATATTAAATTGAATACATTTAGAAAACAAATCTTCTCTTTCACAAGTGCATACATTAATGGTTAACTAAAGAAAACTAATGTCTGTTCTGCTAGATTTTGGCACATAGTTGAGTTCTTCATTTCATTAAGGACCAATGAGATAGCATAAATGCCTTAGTAGGTCTGCTAAGTCTTATATTTTGTTTGTATTAAACTTTTTACTCTGAGATAATTGCAAATTCTAAGATAACTGCAGAAATTGTAGATTCACATAGAGTTGTAGAAAATAATACAAAGAGATCGTTTGCCTTTTATCCAGTTTCCCCCAAGGGTACTATCTTGCAAAACTATTCCATACCACAACCAGGATTTTGACATTGATACAGTCAAGACACAGAATGTTTCCATTGTAAGGATCCTTCCTGGTTACTCACCTCTCTTCTCCAAACTCCTCCTTAGCAACCTCTCATCTGTTCTCCATTTCTAGAACTTTGCATTTCAAAATGTTGTATAAAAAAATGTTGTATAAATGAATTGTACAGTATGTAACCCTGTGGGATTGACTTTTCACTCAGCATAATTCTCTGGAGATTCATCCAAGTTGTTGCTTGTATGAGAGATTATTTTTATTGCTGAGTAGTATTCCAGGGCATGGATGTATCACATGTTTAACCAGCCACCCATTAAAGGACATCTGGTTGTTTACAGTTTTTGAATATTATGAATAAAGCTGCTATGAACATTCATGGACATTTTTTGTGTGTGAACATAAGTTTTCATCTCTCTGGGATAAATGCCCAACAGTGCAATTGCTAAGTGGTATGGCAGCTGCATGTTTAGTTTTATAGGAAACTGCCAAATGGTTTTGCAGAGTGGCTGTTCCATTTTACGTTCCCACCAGCTATGTATGACTGATCCAGTTTCTTTGTATCCTTGCTAATACTTGGTGTTGTTACTATATGTTAGGAATTTTGATAGGTGCATAGTGGTATCTCATTGTGGTTTTAATTTGCAATTCCCTAATGATCAATGATGTTGAATATCTTTTCATGGTCTTATTTGCCATGTGTATATCCTCTTCAGTGAAATGTTTGTATATGTTCTCCATTTTTGAATTGGATTTTTTTAAAAAAATTATTGAGTTTTGTGAGTTCTCTATATATTTCTAGGTATTAGTCATTTGTCAGATATACACTTGCAAATATTTTCTCTCAGTCTGTAGCCTGTCTTTTCATTCTTCTAACATGGTCTTTTTCAGAGCAGAAGTTTGAAACTTTGATGAAGTCATTTATCACACTTTCCTTTATGGATTGTTTATTATCTTTATAGTTTAAGATTTTATGTTTAGAAGTATGATCCATTTTGAGTTAATTTTTACATAAGGTATGGGGTTTAGGCTGAGGTTTCTATTTGCCTGTGGATATCCCATTGCTTTAACATATTTGCTGAAAAGACTATCCTCCCTCCATTGAATTACTTTTGCATCTTTATATAAAACCCAGCCGAATATATTTGTGTGGGTCTATTTCCAGATTTTCTATTCTGTTCTGTTGATCTATGTATCTGTGCCTCCAGCAATAAAAGCCATACTGTCTTGATTACTGTAGTTACATATAAATTTTTATATTGAATAGAGTGATTTCTCCTACTTATTTTTCTTTTACAAGACTGTTTTAGCTATTCCAAGGCCTATGTCTTGGAATTCCTGGAATAAACTTGAATATGTCTACAAACTTTGCTGGGATTTTGACAGAAATTGCATTAAACGATAGCTAAATCTGGAGAGAACCGACATCCTTGCTATTTTGTGTCTTCCAATCCATGAACATGGTATATCTCTTCATTTATTTAGGTCTTTGATTTCTTTCATTAACATCTTTTAATTTTTAACATATAGATCTTGTACATGTTTTGATAAATTTATACCTATTTATTTCTTTGGAGTTATTATAAATGGCATTGTGCTTTTAATTTTGGTCTCCACTTTGTTCATTGTTAGTGTTTAGAAATGTGATTAAATTTTGTGTGCTGATCTTGTATCCTGAAACCTTGTTGAATCCACTAGTTCTGGAAATTTTGTTTTGTTTTTTTTTTTAGTAGATTCTTTGGAATTTGCTATGTAGACAATCCTGTCATTTGTAAACAGAGATATTTCTTTCCAATCATATGCATTTAATTTTTTTTTCTTGTTTATTGCCATGTGTGGAACTTCCAGGACAGCCTTTAACATTTTCATCAATGTAAATATCCAGAGATTTGCAGAAACATACTGTCCTGATGGGGCCCATCATTCTCAAACAGATGTATCTTCAACACTCTTATCATCCAACCTGTTTAGACTTCATTCCCTATAATTTGGATAAATAACTGATAACATTCAGCAGTGGTTTTTAATGGCACCCACAACTGCAAAGCCTCTTGAAGCTAGCAGAGAGGCCATTAATGAGCTAAGTGGAACCTCCTTATAAAAGCAAACTTAGCATAGGAACATTATTCGTAAGACAGAACTAGGAGGTAGTGATGCTCAAAGAATTAAGGTATGAGGTTGACTTATGGAGTATGTGGTTTATCCTTCCAGTTTTCCCCTCTTACCTCTAAATTGAAGGTAGCCATAATTTTTAACTTGGAAATAAAAAGTACCATCAAAGTTACCTTATTCTTATATATTAGAAATTGCTATTGTTAGGAATCCTTTCAGTAATTGGCTTTTGACAAAGAATTCCATGCATCTTTCTATGCTTTTAGTAATAGGCACTTAAAATATATTTTGACATCTCAAACTCTATTCATGTCTTAATTTTTTAAATAAAAGTATAACCATCAATAACATTTTACTTATTTAAAAAGTGTATATTTCCTATAGTTTTGTGTTTTTATGTTATACAACATACCTAACCCACCAAAGAGGGTTCATAGCCATTATAAAAAGACAGAAAACTGGGTACTACTAGATCTTTATAGAGGTCAATGTAAGAGGTCTTGGATGTATACACATAGGCCCTCTATAGGCCTTAGATGTGTGCTCAGGTACTACGTAGTTTCTTGCAAAACCAGGAGCTCCTGCATATAATTTGTAGAAAATTTTAATCTGTAGTAACAATAAAACTTCAGAGACTTTTTTTTTGTTTTTGTTTTTGTTATTTTGTTAGTTAACCATGGCAAATCAGCCACAGACAGGTTAATCCTCACTTTACTGATTTTGCTGATTCAATGACCACCCCTGCATTTCAATAACACTCTTGTCTTGTTCTTAAGGTTGGAAATCATCTAAGTACCACTTCACCAGAAGCAGTAGCTTCTGGAGTCAGACCATGGGACGCTGACTTAGCCTGTCTGAGCCTCAATTTTCTCGTCTGTAAGTGGCAATGATGATATGACTCTCACTGGTTGTAAGGCTTACATGAGATGATCCTGCCAAGGGCCTGGTCCAAGGCTGGGCAGGGAGTGTGCCTTCAATTACTGACTTCCTGGATTCCTCCTCTTGTATATTGTCCTTGCTTCCTTCTCTACTTCCCCCATGCCCTTCTCCTCTCTACACACCACAGAATGAGATGCTTCTTATTTTGGATGCCACTCCTCATGCCTAAGGGAAGGGAACCATCTGACAGAAGCATTAGCAGTTGGGATCTGGGGAGTTTGGTGCTGAAGCTGTCCTGCCTCAAGAATGAATTACCAAGGCCTGCTCACCAGAATGGGGCTGCACGCAGGACTCTGTGTTCTCATGCAGTTTGTCATGTTACAGTGGGACAAAGCCTTCCTAAGTGCCTAATACATTCTAGCAAATGTGACTTCATAATGCATCTGCAGTCCAGTAAGTAGCATGATGAGTGTTCCATAGACAAGCAGCCCTGCGTGCTCACCCCAAACACAAGACTGTAGCCATGTGAGGCATATCTAGTTCCTTTGTGGTTGCGGTGAGCTTCAAATCCAGACTGCTTTGGGCACAGCAAGCAATGAAAATATGCTCACAATACAATGCAATCACATTGCACATTTTTTTTTTTTTTTTGTCCTAAGCAATGGAACAGCAACTGTCTCAACAGGTCACTTTGACAACCAACGATGATTCCCAAGTCAGTGAGACTGGGTTGAGTACGATACAGAGGCTAAATATGTGAGTGCCTGTGGGAACTGGGGGTTTGCAAACGAGCACTCTAATCTCCAGCCTGGCACAGGGTTCCCTGGTCACCCTCCCTCGTTCTGCCATGATGATGACGGGGCGGCTGTGAAGCCTGCAACCAGACAGACAGCAGATCAGTCGCCGTCTGGCAGCGTGACTTCAAAGGTTTTCATTTCCTGCAAACCCCAAGGACTTTCTTCTTACTGCATCAGGCCTTTCTTGGGACTGCTCTGAAGTATTCATCCCTCGAAATGTCAGATACTCCTCCATACCATTTCTGAAGCCAGACATGTTCTATCCTCATCTTCATAAAGAACCACTCATACTGACGAGGCCACTTCCTCATAACGGGGTGTCTGTAGAAATAAAGGAGAGGTCACGAGAGAGCCACTCTCATCAGCGGGTGCGCCCTCCCCGGGCAGCGGTCCAGACTACTAGCATCGGCCAGGTGAGGCAGGCCTCCAGAACCCAGGCCTCGTTTGGGTGGATCCAGAGGCAGAAGCCAGGGAGCCAGGGATGGGGGCTGGGACATCCCAGGAAGGCAGGAAACTGTACCTCCACCGAGGGGCAAACCAGTCTTGTCCCAGGCTCCTTGGTTCCAATCCCAGGCTGACTGCTGATGAGCTATGATGCTTCATGGGCCGTTTGGCCTCTCAAACCCTGCTCTTCTTACCCATCATGTGGGATGATGGTCAGTGCTCAGATCATGGGGTTGTGCAGAGAGCAAACAACTCTGCACATGTGAAGCACCTGCACAGACCAAGTGCTCAGTGAATGCTGGTTACTGTTACCAGGAAACACAAAGACAGGCTTGATGCATCAAAAGAATTGTGAGCCCATGAAATGAATCTGTTCATGGGAAGATCTCCATTCCTGCCAGAGGCTTAGAACTGTTGAACCAAGTAGAGAGTTAGCCAGAATGGACAGGGAACGTTGCACTCCACCTTCACTGACTTGCTTTCTCACTCACGTGTAACCCTACACACACACATGATTCGTAAGGGCAGGGGCTTGGCTCACTTCTTTAAAATTTCATAAAATTAAAAAATTATATTCATATCAAATAATGTTAGAAACAAAATTCAAAGACCAAAGGCAGGCTGGGAAGGATGTCTGTGACAATGTAGATGCAGTAACAGGCTCATGGCCTCTTATAAGAGACAATTTGTTTTGAAATAACTGTAAACGCACAGAGAAGTTGAAAGTACATTACAATGAACTGGGTTTTTCCCCCAAACCACTTGAAATTAAATTGCTGATGTGATGGGCCAACACTCCAAATGTTTGCGCAGCCAAGATAATAAAAGGATTGTCATTATTTTAAGCCAACACCTTTTGTACTTGGAACTGGAACACACTTTGGCACTGGCAGGTGTGGGGCAGGTGTAGCAAATCCTAATCCAGGGGGCACCGGCCTTGCATGCAGGCAACCAGGGGCAGGTGGCAGGAACTTGAGGAGACTCACAGTGGGGGCTTAAAAGAAGCTAAAGATGAAATTAGTCGAAGTGGGAGATAAAGGGACCCATGTAACATAGTGGTGAAAAATTTGGCAACACCATGCCTGCGTGATGCAGACGGCAGGAAATGAATTTAACGAACCCAACGGTCTCCCTGAGATTTTGGCCTCTTCTCACTGCCTATCATAACACAAAAGAGGAGTGTTTAGAAGTAAAGAGGACAGCTGGGCTTGAAAGTATATCACGCATGCGGGCACACACACCCTCTCTGTTCTTCTCTCAGTCTATGTTCAGAAAACCCTGCGTTCGTGTTATGTATCTGATCACGATACGATTCAGGAGTTCGTTCCAATTTTCTCTGTGGATGTGAAACTCTTTTCCACTGCATTGAGAAGCCAGGGTTCCCCTCTCCTACTACTTATTTGATGCTTCTCCTGTATGCTTCACCTCCTGAAGTGTCACCCACACCGCTTCTCCACTTGCTTTCATATTACTCTAACTTAGACAAAGTATTAATCTGCCTGTTTCACCTGCAACTCTGGGAGGGTACCTGCCACTCCCTGGCCCGGCTCTGACCAAGGCCACCCCCCTGACCCATGGAGACAGACTCCACACCCGAGCGACCACCCCTCCATGCACACACCCTCCTCACGTTTTCATAAGCCCTTGACCTCTCACCATCTCTAACCTCCTGCTCACTGGGAACCCCTACAGCAGTGATTCTTAAACTTCAGCATTCATGCTAATTTCCTGGAATGTGCTTTTAAAATTTAGATTGAATCTTCTCTCCAGAGAATCTGACTCAGTCAGTGGGTGGGTTGGGTGGGTGGGGGCAGAAAGCCTGCCGCCGCCAGCATCTTCATGAGTCAGACGGAGGCATCACAGGACCACACTGGAGAGGCGCTCTTTCACCTCTGCACTGTGCTTTGCTTAGCGTGGCCCTTTGACAATGTTTGTTGGGTTGATTTCTCTACAAAGTCCAGGTATTTCCATTTCAAGGCAGGGTGTTGTGGATGGTTGCAAGGGCGCAAGGAAGAGTGCCTCAATTGGGATGCTGTGTAGCCTCTGCTGCCACCTGGAGCAGCCAAGACAGCCAGCGTGAGGTTGGCAGTGCTGCCACCCGAGGGCCACTCAGACCATTACTGTCATTTGCTTCAAAGGCAACAAATAGCACAGTCCTCACCTCTGTTTTTTATTGAGGTTTATTTTGGGGCAAATCAACTTGAAAGCATATACAAACCTTGAAAACATGGCCTGCTTGGCAAATTCTACTTCTTCTGGAGGCACTGCAATCATCTGGCCGGTGAGCGTCAACCGGGCACATCGGGGGTCTTCCGGGTCAACGATATTTTTTCTGCATTCAGAGAACGTTTTTCACATATTAAAATGATAGAACATTGACCTGAAATACTGAGGATTTTATTAAAAATTAAAAATAGCAGCCACACAGCTGGTTGTATCATTCAGGTTTTTACACTGTCCATAATCACTTTAAAAATACTTTGGCACAGGCTATGTGGGAGGTGTGCGTGGGTAAGTTACACATTGGCCTGCACCCCCGGGGCAGCAGAGAACCCCCAAAGGACCTTAGTCAAGGGAGCACGTGCCAGCTTGACCTCTGCAAGACTGCAGTCGGGAGCCGCTGTCCTGAATCATGTTGCTGCTCTGCACAACTCTAGGGGGTGCCACTCACTTAAAGACTGTATGAAAGGTGCTCCTGAAGTAGTGCGGTGCACCTGCCTGGATCCAGGGTGACTGAGACAAGGGTCTTCAGACGTCACTATCAGAACGTGGAGGCTCCTCCCTCAGCGTAAGGGACATTGGAAATAATGAGAACGTTATTGTGACTATATCTGTGACTGCTTGCTAGAAGTGCTTCCACGGTGGCAGACTTCTTCTAAGACCTGCTTTCACTGAAAGAGTCACCTGGCAGTAAGGGTGTATTCTGTATTCGGGACACCACTCTACTTCTGTAATATAATATACGGTATGATATGATATAATATAATTCTCCTAGTTAAAAATTCTCATTAGGATTGCCTGATAAAATATTGCATGACACATAGTTATGTGGGAAACATATTTGTTGTTTATCTCTTTTAATTTTTATAGCTTTACTGATATATATAGTATATATATTTACATAAAATTCACCCTTTTGAAGTGCACAGTTGAGAGTTTTTAGGATATTCAGAGTAGTGCAACCAAAACCATAATCTAATTTTAGAACATTTTCATCACCCCCCACAAAAACCCCTGTGCCTGTTGGGGGCACATTCCTTATTCCTGACCCTTCACTCCATCCACCCCATCCCGAGCGACCTCTGATCTACTGTCCCACCTCTATAGACGTGCCTGTTGGGTCGATCCGGATGGAGTCATACCACATATGGTCTTTGGCGACTATCTTCTCTCACTTAGCATAGTGACTTCAAAGTTTATCCATGTTGTAGCCTGAATCAGAACTTCATTTTTTTTTTAATTTTTTTTACTGCTGAATGTTATTTGATTGTATGGAGAGACCACCTTGTGCTTATCCATTCATCAGCTGATAGGCATGTGGGTTATTCCCACTTTCTGGTCCTTACAAATAATGCTGCCCTTGGCCCTTACAAATGATGTTTTTGTGTGGACATGTTTTTCAGTGGTGGAACTGTTAGAAAGGGAATTGCCGGATCCTATGGCAATTCTACGTTTAACTTTTGGAAGAATAGCTGAATTGTTTTCCAAAGCAGCTGTACTATATTACATCCCCACCAGCAGTGTGTGAGGCCAGTTCCTCCACATCTTTGACAACACTGTTTTAGTGAGTCTAGCCAGCTTAGTGAGTGTGAAGTGGTACCTCACTGGGTTTTATTTGCATTTCCCCCTAATGACATTGCCCACCTTTTCATGTGCTCATTGGCCATGTATCTATCTTTGGAGAAATGTTGCTCAAATCTTTCCCCATTTTAATTTCGACTTGATGTATGTAAATATAATTTAAAATTTTTTCATCAAGTCCAAATTACCTATTTTGCTTTTGTTTCCATTTATGTTTTTTTTTAAATCTCCCACCAAACTAGGGCAAAGGCTATTTATCAAAATCCTACACATATGTTATATTTCATGGATCATGACAAGCGTGTCCATATTACTAGATATTGTGGCTTCTATAGTAAGACAAGAAATAGAAATTTGTATAAAGATTGGGAAATAATAAACAAACGTGTAGTTATTTGCAAATAACATGACTGTATACAAAGGAAAATGCAAGAAAATCCACACTAGGAACATCAGTATTGAGAAGAAAGCTCAGCAAGATTGTTGAGTTTAGGAATAAGATTATGAAACAATTGCATTGCTACTTATAAGCAAAAAATCATTTTTAAATACTAAAAAGTATACAAGATGGTTAAAAAAACCTATAAAATACTAGAAATAAATGTAACAAATATTGTGTAATACCTTGGTGGAAAAAACTGTGACTTTATTGAAATACATAAATGGCCTAAGCAAAGGAAGAGTTATCCCATACACATGAATGGGGAAGCCCAATTTAATGGAGCTGTCAATTTTCCCAGAATTAATCTTTTTCTAAAAAGATTTCATTTATTTATTTGAGTGAGAGAGAAAGAGAACAAAAAAGGGAGGAAAGGGAGAAGCAGGCTCCCCACTGAGGAGGGAGGCCCATGTGGGGCTGGATCCCAGGACCCTGAGGTCATGACCTGAGCTGAAGGCAGATGCTTAACTGACTGAGCCACCCAGGTGCCCCTCAAAATTAATCTTTATAGATAACATAATTTCAATTCAAATTCTGGTATTTTTTAAAGATTTTATGTCTAAGTAATCTCTACACCCAACATGGAGCTCAAACTCACAGCCCCAAGATCAAGAGTCACATGTTCTGCTGACTGCGTCAACCAGGCACCCCAAATTCTGGTATTTTTAAAGTAGAACTAAGCAAGCTGAATCTAAGCTTCACATGGAATAACAAAAGTCTGAGAATAGTCAAAACCATGATAAAGAAGAGCAATATGGTGGGAGGCCTTCCTCTACCAGATAGCAAACCCTGATGTAGAAGAACCATATTAATAAGGCAATGGGTATTGGTGTAAGGATAAAGCAAGGGAACAGACTGGAAGACCCAGAAATAGATCCATGCTTACACAATCCTTGACATACACCAAAGACTGAATTAGAAATTAGCAGGCAAGGTTCTAATTATTCAATAAATGGTGCTGAAAAAAATGGCTATCTGTATGGGAAAAGAAATCTAAAAATAAATCCCTATATCACACCCCGTACAAGTAAATTCTACATTGAATTAATGAAATTAATGATTTAAATGTATAAAGCAAAGCCTTAATACTTTTAGGACAAAATCTTTATGACTTCAGGGTTGGAAAGAATTTCTTAAGCAACACACAAAATGCACAAACCACAAAGGTAGATGAATATGACTTATTAAAATGTCAATTCTTCTTTAATAAAATATTTCATAAGTCAGCTATGGGTGAAGTCTGTTAATTTCCATCATGATTTCTTATTCTCTCAGTGAGCGTGGTAGGCAGAATTCTGGGATGGCCTTCATCATCTCCACCCCCTACTGCTCCACCCTCTATAATCCTTCTCCCAGAACGTGGGAGCGTGGGAGCCGGCTCTCGCTTTTAACCAACAGAATATGGCAAAGGTCACAGGATGTTAATCCCATGCTTATAAGATGTCACAGGCAGTGAGAAAGACTTAGGGACTGTGGAAGAGACAGACTGTCTTACCCTTCCTGCTGGTCTGGAAGAGGTCAGGTGCTGTGAGGTGACCTGTCCTGGCAGTGGAGGGAACAGTGGTGGCCTCCGGGAGCTGAGGCCCCAGTCCTACAACCACAAGGAAGTGAACTGTTCCACCAGGAACAACACTCATGGGAGCTAGAAAGAGGACCAGAGCTCCAGAAAAGGAAGGATGCAGCCCCACTGACATCTTGCTTGCAGCTTCAGGAGACTCTGAGCAGAGGACTCAGTTAAGCCATGCCCAGAACCCTGACCCACAGAAACTGTGAGATAACCAATGTGTGCTATTCCAAGCCTCCATGTTTGTGTTAGTTTGTTACATAGCACAGAGAGTGAATACAGTGGGTCTGTTCAAATTGTAATTTTCAGCTGATAATTCTTTTTCCAGTCCCATTGTTTGTTACTGATTTCCAACTTAATTACATTTTGGTCAGAAAGTTATCCATATGGTATCTTTTGTTTGGTATTTGTTGAAATCAGCCTTGAAGCCTTGTGGTCAACTGCTTTATGCCTGAATAGAATGGGCTTTCTCTAACTGTTCAGTGAAGGTTCTACAAATGACCATTACGGCAAGCTTCTGAAATGTCTTCAAATCTCTTATATCTTTGCTATTTTTGTTGTTGTTGTTTGCTTGCTCTATCAATTACTAAAAGGTGTGTGAAATACTTTAAGGGCCCAATGTCTGGATCTCCATCCTTACACACATGCACACATGCACGCACTCACTTCTCTTCCTCCTAAAGTAGTTATATCATAATTTTTATTTTTATTCATATAAATATTGTGTTTACAGTGAACACAGCATTTACATAAGCCACTATGAATAAAGTTTTTATTCAATCTTTTGTTTTCATTTGGAATTAGTAATAACTTCCCCTTTTTCTTTCTTTTTTAATTTTATGTTAGCATTCTACAAAGTTACCATTTATTCATTCCCAAACTTCCTTTTAGCACAATCAAATATCAGATATATTCTATTATACTCAAAAGAACTGAAAACATGGGATGCCTGGGTGGCTCAGTGGTTGAGCATCTACCTTCAGCTCCGGGCATGATCCCAGGATCCAGGATCCGGTCCCACATAGGGCTCCCTGTGGGCAGCCTGCTTCTCCCTCTGCCTATGTCTCTGCCTCTCTCTCTGTGTCTCTCATGAATAAATAAATCTTAAAAAAAAAAGAACTGAAAACATAAGTTCATACAAAAACTTGTAATAGATGTTGCTAGCAGCGTTATTTATAATAGCCCTAAAGTAGAAATAAACCAAATGGCATCAAATAGACAGAATGTGGGATAAGTCATTCAGTGGAATATTATTCAGCTTTAAAAAGGAATGAAGTACTAGGGTGTCTGACTGGCTTAGTTGGTAGAGCAAGCAACTCTTGATCTTGGGGTTGTAAGTTCAATCCTCACATTGAGTGCAGACATTACTTAAAAAAAAATCTTTATAAAATCTCTCTCACTTCTAAAAAAATGAAGTACTGATCGTATGGGTAAACTCTGAAGATACTTCAAGGTGTGTATGTGTAATATAGATACATAACTCATATATATATGCGTATATATGTGCAGAATATGCAAATTCATAGAG